ATTGAATCCTCCGAGAGCATAAGATTGCAGTTAACATCAAGGCCATCATGATCATAATGTTATCTACTTCGTATTCCAACGCAAATCTGGCTAAAAATGAGGATTGGTTTTGGTCATAGATTTGTAATTCTGATTTTCAGGAATAGCAGATATACCTTGTTGAGTTGACTCCTGGAATTGATTCGTATTCAGTGAGAACATCATCGAATGCGATTTTTCTTTTTGGCTTGGGATTGTCAGTTCAGCTCCGGGCAGCATTAAAGCGATGCAAAGAATTGAGAGGGCTATGGCTGCCCCTGTTGTCAGCGGTACTTTTCGATTCGGTTTCAGAGTTTCTTTCCCTTCCACAACGATCTCCCCATTTTGGTTTCCATTATTTGAAGACGATTGCTTCCACCATTTTATAGCGTCATCGGTGGAGGCGATATCATGGCGCTGATCAATCATGATTTTTCAGGGTGGAAATTTCGGGAATTACTTAGGTAATGCTGAGGATTTTAGGAGAACGTTGAGATGATCAAGTCGGGCTTATTCCAATGTGGTCAATGACAGTGAGTTTCAGGATAACTGGACAAGTGGTACTGGTCTTATGGTTATTTGCCTCTTAGGTCTACTTTAGAAGAAGAATGGAATTTGCGAGGTACTTGTGATGGTCAAACTGAAGAAGTTTGAGGACAGTAAGGGCCTTCCAGTGCAATAAGGAGGACTGTAACGCGTCCGTTGCAGTCTCAGCACAACGCCAATTCAACTAGCAGCTTGTGTTGTTATACGCTTCTATATCAGTAGGGGCAACGGTTTATAATGTTGAATGAACAAGAGCCTAAGACGTTCTGATAAGCTTGTGTTGTTATAGGCCTCTATATCAGGATAATAAATTTATAACATTTAAAATGACATTTAATTCATTGTTTATGACTGATTAGCAATTATATCAGATGCAGCGGTGTGATCGTATCGTTATCATATGATCAGCATGTTTTTTGTGATAATATCATAATATTCACAACGTTGTTCTATTCATCAATTGATAATATTTCAGAATTTTTCTGTCATTTTTTGCTCAAAAATGTGTGTTCATAAGCAATCATTTCTCATAAGCAGAAAAGTGCTATGCTCTATTGTAGATGAGTGTCGATGTGTGAGATCATTTAATGCATTGGTTTTGCTCGGGTGTTCGATGTCTGAGGCGGAATGTGTTTAGTGTGAGCAATTAGAAGTAATGATTTGGCGATAGTGATGGGCTGACATGAGAACAGATGGATACAGCAATGAAGTATTATTATTAAAGGATGAAAGTTTTGGAGTTTTATGAACAGAAAGAATTATGAATATTATGAACAGCAT